ACAGCCAGATGAATCTTTCTGTAGAGATGCTGTTGCTTGTTGCCGAGCACCATAAATACAAACCAGTCTCGGGTAAGTCTTGTGATCAAGTCTCTCTCCTCTTCACAGGAAACTCAAACCACATAATAGGCCATCTTTATCACACATGTAGTGCACCAACACTTTCACTACCGCGCTGTTCTTCGTGCATTGCACAATCTGTCACCTCGAAGTCTTATGACACCATGAGATGCATAATATGTTTCTTTACCTAAACACCACTATTGGGTGTACCTTGCCTCATGATCACTGGTGTTTGTAGCGTCAGAATGAAACCACTCGAGCAATGAAAAAAGTGTAAGCGGCACTTCTGGTTAAAAATATGCACTATAAAAGCAAAGCAGAGCTGTGGAGGCCCGCAGACTGATCTGAAGCCACAGACACAGCGGCTTTGGTACAACTGTACAGTACATCAATTGGTTTAGTACTTGTATTTGCTCAAAGCAACAACATACATTTGTTCTAAATAAAGAAGTGTGTGCTGCAATAGGAAAATAAACTTGGTGATGAATGATATAAATAAAAAAAAAAAAAAAATCAGGTTCTGTTCAAGGAGAGGGCAAGTTTCAAAATAACAACCAATATCACAGACTTCCATCAAAAGTAAGCTGGACGGTCAATTTTCTTATTTATGTTTTATTTTGATAAAACAACAGTAGATACAAAAATAAAATGAGAGTTGAAGTAATTTGTTGTTTTCTTTACAATTTCTGTCCTTGCTATTTTTGGGATATGATTAATTACAATAAGGTTTTTGCAGCGACCAACCGTTTATAATAATGACATATAAAAACATTCTTAAAGCTGACTATTTACAGTAATTGAATCAGATAAAGAAAAATTAGTGATGCTGAGTCCTTTCTGTACTGCTTTCCTGTCAGCTATTACTTGATATCTGCTACCCATAACTTTGAATCTACTGTTTTTGGTTACCTTCCTCTAATTTCATGATGTTGGTTTTTGCTTTATGAAAACGTATTACTGATAGTTAAGAGTTTGTATAAATACAAATAGGTTGAACACACGAGACCGACTATGTGACGTCAAAAGACAAAGAAAAGAGAGGTGTTTAAAAAGGAGGCGAGAGGAGTAGGATGGAGGATGTGGCAGATAAATAAAGGGCAACAGAGAACGTGACATCTCCAGTCATCTGATCTACAGTTTTAAGTGTCCTTATGGACTGGTGGAAAACATTTTGATGCCAGGTTTGGAGAAATCCAGCCAAAAGCTCTTTTCCAAAGCTCGTGTTTGTCTGTGCCGACAGAGGCTCGGGATGTAAACAGCAACTGTGTGTTTATGATCCATTGACTCTGGTTCCATATGGAAAGATCCTTTTTAACAGTGTTTGCCAGCGGCTCTGGGCACTGACATTTAGACATCTGACAGAGTTATAAAGTCTTATTCCACATTTGTAATATTATACAGAAACTTTCCACCACAATATGTAACATGAAGCATCTTTGAAATACCATGCCATCACTTCAAAGACAAACTACATTTGTGAGCAGCTGGGGTATTACAAGACTTTTATTTGACTGGGCAAGTATTGGTACTTATCAACGATAAATACATATTTTATGTAATGAAGACCCCTTGAGGATCCATTCAAACTTTCCCAGGACCCCAGGCAAAGTCTTTCAAGAGGGATGATATAAAATACTGCTCTCTTTGATGGTCCAGAAGTATCTTTCAAACTTGATAACTGATAAAGAATGTTGATTATTAAACTCCCAACTAGTTAAAACCTCGAGCTACAGAAGAGTTCTTCAGAATTAGTTGGCAACCGCTGTGTCAACTCGTGACACACCACCTGTCTTGTCAGTTCTCCGGCCGTAATTCCAAATAAACCATCAGTGTTTGCCATCAAAGCTCCAGCTCTCCTCGTGTCTCTTTGAGTCCTGACTCTCCATTGCTACAGAAGTTTCCCCCACAAGTAATATGGGTATGTTACTAAAACACAAAGTTATTTCAATGCAACACTGTCTATATCCTGCGTGTGTTTAAGGATTAGCTAAAAGTCACTGTTGCAATGTAAATACACAATAACTTCCCTTCAACCATGACTTTGGTCTTGTGGGTTACAAGAAACATGTTCCTGAAAGCTTTATTTTTCATAGCTAGAAATGTGGACCCGTGTTGGTATGTAAAGTTTATAAAAGAGGCGATGAAGTGTGTTTTCCATTTTGTCCGTTTTCTCCAACGAGCAGAACACGTGGTAAGTAATTCATTTTGGGGAAGGAGCATTCCTTTAAAACAGGTAATACAGGGATTTTGTATTGCACTTCTTCAACAAAACAATATTTTTTTTATTTGGAGAACTCAAACTGAATTTAAGCCCCTGGTTTTAAACAAAGCCCAATTCCCATGATAGCACTAGAGAGTCTTTTATTAGACCATCCCACCCTGCCTCCTATATGGCCACTTCTTTCAGACCACCATCACTTTGTTACACAGCCTTTTTTAAACATTTTAAGTGTCAAGTCCAAACTTTACAAAGCTACGTTAGATATTATACAACTGTTTTCACAGGCTATGCAAGACAGCAGAATAAAGCACTTGGATGTTATTTTATTACAAAGTTCCTCTCTTAATAATGAGAAGTAGAGTTGAGATTATCAAATTGTGTCTTCCGCGGTGTAAAGTCGCACTACCCTCTTCCTTTATCTTGTGATCTAACACGAAGCATTACAGTGTGACCTATTGTCATCTCAATGATTCACACAAAACCATACAAGGACAAATTAATGAAAGGATATTTAATGATGTAGTTCTTAAAGTTTTATATAAAGTTGATTTTAAAGTAGAGGTCAGGAGGAAGGAAGTGGGGTAAGGCCTTCAGTTACGTCAGGTTTCTGAAACATGTCTGTGGTGTTGCAGATAGTTGCCTAAAGGCGTATTATTAAATGAACCCACTGCCATTTTGTCTTCTTACATACATACTAATGTCAGAATGGAAAGGGGGCCACGGAAGAAGTTTAGTTCAGCTATTTTCATCAAGTTCAATAATGTCATACACTCATGAAGTTCACAACCACTCCAGCGGGGCTTAACCACATGTTCTCACATCAGTCTAATGATCGCTGCTACTTGTGAGTCTTATAAATAACATTCTCCTTCTGACAGATTACATTTTTCCCCATACTCTTTCTCAATTTGGGTGACAGATAGTCACAATGGGCTGACGTCTATTTTATGCATGTGGGATTAATGCTCATTGGCTGCCGGCATGAGCGCATACTACACAAACACACACGCACACACACACTCTCGATCTTTCCATATGGAAACACCAAAGCATATAGTCGTAGAGTTATATATGAAGTTGCAGTTACTTTTAACAGCCTGGCAGTTGCTGAGACAGACGTAAACAAGCGGCAGATCGATATACACACACACTAACGCTGTGTTAACCAGATGCATCTGCTTTTAGTAAGCCTTTTGTTTACTGAAGATGCTGAGGGGACTTGAACTTGCATTCTCTCATCCTCTTCCTGCCTACATATGCAGATGATTTGTCTGTCTCCATGTGTCTGCTCATTTGTCTCCCAATGTCTGCTACGCTGTCTGAACGAAAATGATGAGAAACGATGACAGAAAGTCAAGAGAATGCTTAGGAAAAACCAAGATAGAGCAACAATGACTGAAGGGAGGAAAAAGAGCTCATAACTAACTTCTCTCTCCCTGTGAACGAGCTGAGACTACGTCATTTCCTTGATGTGGAAATTACTCACAGAAACGAAAGAGAGTGTTTGACCACTTTCTTCTTATCCACCATCACTGGTACACATGCACTGATAATTTATCTTTAATTATCATGAGTGCCACTCGCTTATGAGTTTGACATAAATCCATGTGTTAGATGTTGTTTGCTGCACAAAGACCATGGCTTGGTATGAAATGAAAATAAACATTTACAGAGTGATAACACGTGTTGCTTCTGCTGCCTAAGGCATAACATGTTTGTAAACAGCTGCTTTTACTAACTGTTAGTTTAGGGTTAACGTCATATGAACCCCAGGATGCTATCAGCAACAACTCTGCTTCTGTCCTACTCTTTATTACATTTTGGGAAGTTTACACTCAACCCCAGTCAGAGAAGAAGTCAACATAGTGTGTCTTCAGGCACAGTGGGTTATATAAGTCACCCGTAATGTTGGCAGCGCTAGGGGATGAACAAACTCATCGTAGATATGTACGTAACAAATAACAAAATATATGTGAGTTTTGCCTTAATTTTCTGTATGTGGTCATCTTTGCATTGTTATACAACATTTGAAGTTCAGAGCAAGTCTGCTGGAGACCTTTGTTAAAATGTAGCTTAATTAGCGCTATTAGCTAGCTAGCTATGGCAGATAAAAAAGTTAGACCATTTTTAGCCAACTAAATGGCATACAAGAAATAAGAAGACCGTTTTGTATCATTATTTGCAATTACTAAGACATCAACATCAGAGTTCTCACTGTAAACTGCATGGTGCTTATCAGATGCAGCAGAAGTAACCAAGGGGGATGGTTGCGTAACAGTTAAAGCTTCTGAGAGTTTTTCTTTCCATGAAGTTACACTCACATAGATCTCGCCAAACAGTAACCAAACACTAAAATCAAGGTCTCCTCAAATATTTTGAATTATTACTTTCTTTTCTTTTCTTGTTGAATCATTGTGAAGCTTTATCTTTATGTCGTGATAAAATATAATTCATTGTGTTTTATCCTTTAGCTTAGAGCTTTATGTCATTAGATAACTGAGTGATACAATATTGGACTGATACCCCCCTCCGTTTTCTTTGAACATTGTGGTCCTTTGTAGGGTCTCCTTTAATAGAGGTCATTCTGCATCCGTCATCAGCCTGTTTGCTCTCTGTCTGGGGGGTTGAGAACAGGCAGAAGGACTTTTTTCACTAGATTTGGGTGAAGGGCTGCACATTTTGGGGGGGAAGAAGGAAAAGTAGGAGGAGATTGAGAGTAGGAGTCGGGGAGAATGGAAACAGATATAAGATTACTTACTGGCAAAACTCAAGTACAGCAGCAGCTGTTTAGATTGAGCGTTAGTCATCGGCCTCTCTTTTGCCTCTTTTCCCCCCTCCTCTCTTTCTCCGTTCCTCATGAGAGTGTTGTGAATAGCTCCTGAAATAGAGCCGGTGGAGCGTAAAGTGAAATGTGAAAGGCGGCGTAGACAGAGGGGGGGTTTGTACAAGCAATGTGATACGCTGCCAGTGTAAGAAATGTGTTCACATGGAAAGATATGCAAAGAGAAAGGAAAGAGTTAGAAAGACTGAAGTGACAGAGACAAGGCCACACAGACAAGTGAGAGAGAGAGAGAGAGAGAGAGAGAGAGAGAGAGAGAGAGAGAGAGAGAGAGAGAGAGAGGCGTGCTCAGAGACTGAGATTTTGACTCTGAGGAAGAAAGCTGGTGAAGGTTCACTGTTACTTTCCTGCCGTACAATTATCCTCTACCGAAAGGATTTATTTTTTTTTTTTTCATTCCTGCTGGATTTTCCGGACCTTGGACTTTGAACTTTGTCAGGATCTAAACTTTTATTTTCAGGATTTTAACTGGACCTAAATGATTTACAACTAATTCACAGTTCTGATACAGTAATCTGCTGGTTTGCCTTGGACATGGGGTCTGGGAAGGAGCTCCTTATTCTCGGTAAGTCTATCAATGAGATCACAATGTGTGTGTCGGTGTGTGACTGTGTGGGTGTGTGATAGATGAGGCAAGGAAAGAAGAAACCAAAAGTATGGGGATGTTTGGAAATGTTGTAACACTTCAGTTGATGTGTGTCCACTTGTTTTGTCAGTCATACACAACTATGTTCATTACTATGTGGTGGCTATGGAAACATGTGTAAATACATGTATTTCATTATTAGTATATTAACCTTGCTTCTCAATTGAATGAGGTCCAACAACTTATACGGTGACTTTTATCCTGTAACAGCGGTCACAACATGTGAATATGATAGCAGAAGGTGTGAAATTGAAAGAAAAATTATTTTAAGGCCACATGAGCAGCATCAGTAACGTTAACCCTTTAAGACAGGAAGCAGAGCGCAGCCCTCCAGCTGTGTGCAGATGTCATGTATGGATGGGGGTCACAGTAGCTGCTGTGTGGTGAGAAACAGTCTCTGGACGTCTGCTCCACAGACAGAGTAAAACCAACCCAGAGTTGTGGCAGCATGCAGAGGTCTGAAGGCACATGAATTACAGCAGGATATAAGCCTGTTTGAGTACGCCACAAACCCTGACAGGATGGGGACATTTCTGGAGTACATCTGTGTCAGACAGATTTTTTAGAGGCTTACCACCAAACAGCACATTTTTTACGTACAGGTTACACAGTAGGCCTACCAATTAAAAAATACTACACCGTAAGAGTTTTATTTAATTCTGTCTTTCAGGAGACGTCATAAATCATTCTATATGTTGACCGTGTTATTTTTAACACACATGTGCTATATACAGTAGGACTTATATATATATATATATAATATTTGGGGTGTTGCAATATACCAACAATAACTGTAAAAATTAAGAAATGATACATAATATATACTGTTGATAATAAACAGATATTAAACCGTTACCTCATTGTTTATTAGTTGATCTATTTGCCTTTGCACGATCCAATAGCCAACGTGTTCTGTTTGTACCCTCTTATGTTATTTGTTTATTTTTTGTTACAAACTCTCTCAAATCATATTTTGAATTGAAATAACTTATCAATGAAAAAAGAGACGAAATAAACAAAGTTGTAACATTAAAAGGGCTGTGTGTAGTGACCCAACACTGCGTGCACCCTTCGCTTCACAGAGTAGTTTCGCTTCTTAAAAACGTAGTGTTTTGGTTTTCTGTCCCACTAATGTGTGGCTTTAGTTTTTTAACCATTCTCATCCACCCTGTGTCATGAAGAAGCAAGCAGCAATTACCTTACCAGAAAACCAAAAATAGAGCTATTAGGATCGTTTATTTTTTACGTTATCAAGTTATCAAGTTAAGGTTGCTCTGCGTCTGCGAGATAAAAAACAAGTTAACCAAAACAAGTTCATAAGGCGGTCATTTCAAATGTGTTTACAACTTGCTGTTTATTTCCTACAAAATTAAAAATGCAGGTTTTTCCAATATTATTTAATATAGTCATTTACATTGTGGTGTTTTACAATCAGACATCGTTTACAATGTCAATCATGTTTGAAGACAATATACGACTCAACTACTAAACACTACTGTTGACTATTTCATGATTAATCCCCTTAAAAACAGCAGCAGCAATCATCATGTATGTCTACATTCACATGATACTACATGATACCGGTTTGTTTTATTGGTATTACATGAACAATTATAGTAACAGAGCAGCAAGTTATTAGAAGTATTTTAACCCAGTAGTGTCTTTACAAAAGGTGGGCAGAAGCAGAAATCCCCTTCATTTTCACATAATGATTTGTAAACATGTGACTACACAGTTTAAATGACTCAGCATGACTTTTGACGAGTGTAAAATGAGGCCTTTGGGCTATAGGAAATTGCAGTTACTTTCATATGCATGCGACTCAATACACAGATAAATAGACAGAGAAAGAGTTAGAGAAACCCTGGTGTTGCCTGCATTTATAGCCTCCACTTTCTAGCAGCCTATAAGATAATGCAACATCCACTGGCCTATGAGTGATCTACTTTTTATTTAAAATGATTTACTCATCAACTGTGATTATGAGTTTATTGTGATTATTATAGCCCATTAGGAGATGAAATTAATTATATTATACAAAGGGAATTGCTGCAGGTTTGATGAATTGTGTTTTTGATTGTTCTCTTAGACCAATATCCATTGGTCTATGAGTGATCTACTTTTTATTTAAAATGATTTACTTCATCAACTGTGATTATGAGTTTATTGTGATTATTATAGCCCATTAGGAGTTGAAATTAATTATATTATACAAAGGGAATTGCTGCAGGTTTGATGAATTGTGTTTTTGATTGTTCTCTTAGACCAATATCCTCCGGTCTATGAGTTATCTACTATTTTATTTTAAATTAGTTATTTCATCAACTGCGATTATGAGTTTATTGCTATTATTGGGCTATATAAGGTGTTTGTTTTTTTTGTTGTTTTTTTTTGTTTAAAGATGTTGAATAGAGACCAATTCTTACTGGTCTCTGGGGTTGTTCATTCCTCCTAAAATGTCATTTTGATTTATTCATTTTTTTGATTTATTGATTCATAAATAAGATTGTGTGTAATAGACATTACCATGAATGTATCTAACACATTGACAACGATCTAAAATGTTTGGGAGCTACATGTTGCTCGTATAGGTGATTGAGTGAGTGAGTATGCACAGGGATAGTAATCCTTTATGTGCAGTTAGGTGGTGGGTTGTATGTGTGGTTTTAGTTGTGTTACATGTGTGTTTTGGCTCAGCTCTCAATTTAAAAAGTAGTGAAAGAGAAACACATTTTAAATTGCCATCTTAATGTCAAATAAGTTACCAAAGAAAGGGTTTAAATTGGCTCATATCAATATTTGTAGTTTAAGGAATAAAGTTACTGAGATAGAGGAAATACTATCATCGGGTATTCATTGTTTAGCTATATCAGAAACTCACTTAGATGACACATTTAATGACGCAGCAGTTGACATTCAGGGATATAGTATATTTAGAAAAGACAGGAATGCACATGGAGGTGGGGTGGCAGTGTATATTCAAAAGCAAATACCAGCTAAAGTGAGATACGATTTAATGTCTCCTGATATTGAAGTACTTTGGTTGCAAATTCATTTACCACATTTAAGACCTTTGTTGGTGGGATGCTGTTACAGACCTCCTAATGCTAACCTTGCTTATTTAGAAACAGTATGTCAAATGTTAGATAAAGTTTGTGATCTTGATAGAGAGATTTATTTTACAGGTGATTTAAACATAGACTGGAATATGTCGCACTGTGCCCTAAAAAATAAGTTGCTGACAATTACTAACACATGTAACTTAGTACAAATGGTGACTAAACCTACTAGGATAATCAGAAAGAAAGATGGATCAAATAGTGCAACTTGTATTGATCATATATTTACTAATTTCAGCCATTTATGTTCACAAGCAATTTCAATCCCGGTAGGGTGCACTGATCATAATCTAATCATCATTGTGAGAAAGACAAAGGTGCCAAAACCAGGACCAAAAGTAATAGTTAGAAGATCAATGAAATATTTTTGTGAAGAGTCATTTATAAAGGATGTTCAAAAGATATGTTGGAAACAAGTTCTTGAGAAACCAAACCCAGATGATGCTCTTGATGGCTTTAATTTTTTATTCAAGCAAGTGATTGATAAACATGCACCACTTAGAAAGCAGACTGTAAGGAACCTTAGAACGCCCTGGTTAGATGATGAGCTAAGAGAACTAATGAAACAAAGAGATGATGCAAAACTTGTAGCTATCTCATCAAGTTAATGAGTCAGACGGGCACATTTAATAGAAAATTGAGGAATTATGTTAACAGCATTAAATAAAAGAAAAACGAGTATTATGGAAATAAAAATTAAAGCTATATGAATGATATAAGAAGAGCTGTGGGATTTAGTCAATGGCATGGATGGGCCGTAAGCCCAAAATCCACCTCAACATATCTTGAAGTGGAAGGGACATTTTTGGACTAACGGTACAAAATTGCTAATTATTTAAATGATTATTTTCTTGATAAAGGTGGATACTTTGAGGAGAGATATGAAGCAACCTATTAACAGGAACTCCACTTTTTCTAATAAATGATTTAATCATGGAAAATAAGAATTGTACATTTAAAAATAGAGAAAGTGTCAATTGGCAGATGTTGGAATGTCTACTCAGGGAAATGTAATGATAAACCACCGGTGTTGATATCTAGATGGTAATTTCTTAGATATGTTGCTAATTTGGGTTGCGGAGCCTATCTGCCATATCATCAATGTACAGTATTGAAGAAAGTGCATTTGCCCACAGGCATGGAAAATAGGCAAAAATTATTCCACTTGCAAAAAATCCAGCTGGATCATTTTCTGGAACAAATAGTCGCCCGATAAGTTTAATTACCCAGCGTTAGGAAAGATAATGGAGAGAATAATGGTTTAATCAAATACAGAAATACCTTTGAAGGTAACACATCTTAATACCTGCTTATCAACATGCCTACAGACCGGGCCATTCCCACATGCATGCTTAACACAATGACCGATGACTGATGCTTAGATAATATAAGTTAGTTGGGAACGGTCCTATTTTTATTTCTAATCCTGTCCACCTTCCAGTCATCATCGTCCATTAGTTGGTGAATAAGCTAGCAAGTGATGGTGGAGATGGCTGCCCGGTCTGTAGGTCATGTGTAATAAGCAGTAATTAAGGTTGTTACCTTCAAAGTATGTCTGTTATTCTGATTAAACCATTATTCCGTCACTCACATTATCTTCTTCCTAACGGCTGGTAATGAACTTATCGGCCCGACTGATTTGTTCCAGAAAATGATCCCAGCTGGATTTTTGGCAGTGAATAATTGCTATTTTTCCATGCCTTGGGGCAAATACACTTTTTCAATACTCTAAGATGAATAAATTAGGCAAGATAGGCTCCGCAACCAAATTAGCACAATATCTAAGAAATTTTTACCATC